GTCTAATTCCTTGTATTTATATGGAAGAAAACCCGACCCGCACCCGCTTTGTGTGTGTTGCGCTTAAGTACCTTGTCAAGACTATGGATTCTGAGATCCTCAGATCCTCAGAACAAACCCTTTCATTTGGTTTGCTTGTTTGATTGATTGATACGGTTTAGTGCACATTCAACCCCCATAATCTCAGGACAACATTTAGGGGTTCAAAGCGGACAGGGTTAGCCCTGTCCACGTTGAACCCCTAAATGTTGGATTTTGAATAGGCTTGTTTCCACTAATAACAAATTGCTTGGTTTATAGTTTCAAATTATAAATCAAGAGACATAGATAAGAAAAAACCAATCTATTTCTCATAAAAGTTAAAGATTATTTATATTTTTAAAAAAACGAACAAAATAGGCATTAAGTCACTAATTAGAAAGTGTTACGTCACGCCACGCAAAACATCATTGTTGTTGTTGACGTTTTCATACAACAGGGCTGGTTACTCCTTATTGTTTTTCGTTTTCAGCATATTTTCTCACCTTAATACAGTTTCAGTTGACACTGGACACAGATGTAAACAGTTTTGTTTCGCAGACTGTGACATCATTCAAGACGCCATGACACTATTCAGCGTTTTCCAGGGTTTTTTTTTTTTAAAGGATTTAATTATTTAAAGATTTAATTTAAATTGTTTTTTTAAAATACAAAATACGTAATGTTAATATTGCTTTTTCTTTAAAAGATAGGTATTTTGGGATTAAATAGATATTAAAGTATATAATTAACCAAGTTTTCAAATTGAATCAACTAGCCTATTTTTAATTGTTTTAATCCACGTTCAACCCTCAATGGACAGTAAAACACGAAAAGGTTTTCTCATATGCCCAAAATATTGTTAAGTCTGCCTACCCTTTAATTGTCCTAAAGTAACGAAATATCTGCAGTTACTTTGCAATACACATTATAAGAACCGTGGTTCTCGGGGTTCGTGTATGGTAAGTGAATATTTTGTAGTTTTTTTTTATTCTACTTATAAATGATTATAGAAGACAATAAATACACTTCTGGTTTCATCATTACTTTAACTTAATTGTTAAGATACCTTACAACTGCGGGTTTCGACTGAACCGAATTCGGAAGAAAAAAAATGACCATATTAAAATTCATGTTCTACCCCTGTGGGTTGAATACGGACAACATTTAGGGGTTCAACATGGTCGGAGTGGGAGTTCTCTCGCTCGATAGCCTGATTGCGGCTATCGTGCAGAGCGAGAGTGCGTGGAACTCTGCCGTCTCCTTCTGCGAGCAAGTTATGCTGAAGTTATGCTGCTGTGATTTGCAACAAGCTGTTACTCCGAGGAAAATGATCGTACAGAAAAATAACAAGAAGAAAATTGTAGCTCTAAGTGTTTAGTTTTCAGATCTGGCCATGAATTTTTGGTCACAATGTTTGGTCCTGGAGTAATCCTAAGGAAACTGCTGAAAAAAAAACAAAATTTTTGCTCGTCTTAAAAAGGTCTGCAGCACCAAGAAATGTTTCAGAGCGTCATCATCATGTCATATGGTTACGTATTATGGACAGTTTGTTGAGAATATTGGTACAACTCTAGTTATTTAAACTTATTTAAGACAGGTGTTCCTTATTGTTGCCATTAACAATGTCAAGAGGTATTTGATAAAGTAAAACATTGTAGTGATGCATTGATGCAATATACGTCACAGTTATCTATAATATTAGCGACGGATGGCAGCAGTGTAGGGATAGGCGCATTGATATCGCACGCAAGTTAAGTTGGCGAATAATATGAATTTCGTTGGCTCATGCAAGCGGAGCGTGCACAGATTGACCGGGAAGCATATAGTTTTTAAAGTTCGTAAATATCATCGTATCTTTATGGACGTAAGTTTATATCGAGGACAGATCATAATCCGTTGACATACATTTTAGACAAAAGGAATTCCCGTGATGGCCGCAACGAGGTTACAGCCTTGGGCGGTGTTGTTATCAGGGTATACTTACAACATTGAATATGTGACGCCGAATGCGTCTACATTGTCACGGCTTCCGTATAAGGAAGGTTCCGCAGGTTTATCAAATGAGAACACTTCCGTTAATTTCATTGATAACTTGTTACCCATTGCAAGTAAAAATGTAAGAAAAGGGACTGCAAGTGACAGTATACTAAGGGGATTTTAGCATATTTCCTGTCTGATTGGCCTCTTACTTGTACCGATGCTCAGATATAGCTGTATTTTGTAAGACGTATTAACGTTATATACCTACGGAAAGCGAATGCATAATGTGGGGATATAGCATGGTAATACCATTGTAATTGTAGTGACATATTAAATACTAAAAGTATGGCCAAGGTACATATGGTGACCTAATACAATGCTTCCGTGGAAACTTGTGTAGGTAATATAAGACTTATGCGGCTGAGGCGGATTCACCACGGTGGTTTCTCGTGCAGTCTTGGCCTTATCATCCTAGCCCCAGGAGTAGATTACAATTCAACTTCCCAGGTCCATGTTAAGATTTTTATATAGAAATAGTATTAAGTAAGTAAGTAATAGTATTTAGAAAATTTTTGAACTAAAATCTCCTCGCTTCGGTTTGCTGTGGATCACTCAACGCCACCCGTCCCTATTCGCCGCCGAGTGTAGAGCATCATGAATTGTGGTGTCAAGAGTAGTGCGGATCTGGTCAGTCCAACGTGTCGTGCTTTTACATCGTGGATTTTTTCCATCCACTTTGCCCGTGACCATTAACATCTCCAAGTTGCCGTCATCCAGAACTCTATGCAGGCAGATGGTAGAAAGCCTTGTCTGTATCTTAAGTTCTTGCAGGATTGACACGTTGGCGCGGTGTGCAGTCCAGGGAATACATAGAATCTTTCGCCAGCACCGCATCTCGAATGCATCAATACGGACACGATCGGCTTTCTTCAGGGTCTACGTCTCCGCACCGTACAAGAATATGGACAACACCACAGTGCGTACAAGATTGCTCTTGGTTTGGCTCGTTTATCGAGAGACCCAGTTTAGTGCTGATGCGATCCATCCTATCCAAATAAATGATCATCTCTGCTTCAGTGTCCGCTAGGAAGGCCGTCTGCATAGAATAGATTTTTTTTATTTGCAAATATGGGTAAATAAATACATGATAGGTATCGCAAGAAATTTTGTTAAAGTGAGGTTGTGGATTGATTGCTATACAGCTATCCCGGTATCTAGACTACTCCAGATTTTTTAAAGATCAGCAGATAGGTACACTACCATAATTTTTTTAACACAAATATGTTTTTAACGATGTTTCTTTTAAGTTATCTACTTACAAAAAGAAATGAGATTCCATCATAATAGAAGCCGTAAAAAATCTCGTAACGCACTTCTTCTACTACTTCTATCCCAAAAATTTGGGAAGGTATTTAATTAGAAATACCTTCCTAAAACGTCTTTTTATCTTAATGTAATAACGAATCAGTAATCGCATACAGTAAAAGAACCTATTTATGTACATATTATGAAATATACCCAAGTTTCCCTTACACATTTTTTTATAATAATATATCTGTTATATCCAATTCAAAGATATTTTCTTTTTGTTGGTAAGAAAGATTAGAACTAACTAAATAAAAATAAACAAAATTAAGTAACAATGAATTCAAAAGACCATTTGGAATTAAATTTATTGGTCTCAAAATCAGTTGCGAAATAATGTTATCTATTGTCTGGTCAGCGAGCTTATTTGCTGCAGAAAACTGCCTGTCATTTCGTTTCGATTATTGTGAACAACGGACAGGTATTCGCTATGCAGACGTGTTTGAGTATTCAAAAATTACCCGTGCGAGGTTTTTTTTACAAACATACGTCAATTTCGCAGCATTTCGCATTTAGAAATCGCAGGATTGCGGTAACGCAGAATTAAGCGTCGTAGCAGGTGCTACGATTAGGGGATATTAAACGAGTTTATTATCCTTATTTAGACAAGTTTAAAATAACAAAAAAAAATGTACATGTGGAGCAATACCTTTCCTAAAACCACTATTACTTGTTTTTCAAACTTTTTAACATCTTCCATTATCTTTACTTGAGACTTGCATGTACAAGACTTACATACCTATACATTACATGTAAACAACAAACTCATAAGATTTGTCATGGATTAGATCCAACGGATTTATGTTAACGATGGTTTGATGATATAGGCAAGAACGGAATAGTGAGTTCCACTATCCCATACTTGCCTAATTAATAACAGTTATCTTATTAGACTAGACGCATTATTAAAATAATATATGTTATGGCACACCCACATTTGAGACGATCTTTACATGCATCAAGCATTTTTGAGCTCGCACAGAAATTTAAATCCATACACTCGTTCGAAGAATATTACCCTTCTTCACAGTCGGAAAAAAATCAAAGTAACGAATGTAAACGAACAATAACTTGAAATATAGGGACGTCTTTAGTAGGTATATTGTTCTTGAATTGAATGAGGAGAATATTACTTTTTATTTTACAGACAAACACATTTTATACCTAATATTAAGTTGTATTGTTCATCGAGTCAACCTGAAAGGATTTAATGATATCAAACAAACTGATATTCACCTTAATGAATGAAGATATTTGTTTTTATTTCTTTGATGACACGTTGTGCTTGTAATCTTTGTATTGACTCGCATTATTTGAGTACATTGTCTATACTTTTATAAATTATTCTGATAATTTAATTTACCTTAAACACTGGTTAGTATAATTATGTAAATTACTATAATAGTAGAAATCCAACTATACCAGATATCTACTCGTAAATAAAACTGTTAGATTCGTACTATTATTGAATTAGTATTGTGTCGCCGGCTCTCTTAAAATCTAAATCTATGTATCTGTACCTATATAAATGGAACTGAGGCTCGAGTATTGCAGTCGAAAACTGCTCGCGAACGCGCGTACGTACTGCCGATAACAGCCGCTCTGTCTGTTAAGCAGGAAATTACAATTGAAAAATGTGGTTTGTGTTAGTTTTGGCTATGTTGGTGGGGGTAGAGGCAGTGTGTGGAAAAGATACCTCAGGGTGCAAAGTGGTGGAACCGAGCAGCGAAGCAAAACACATCGGGTTGGGAGATACTGAACTGGTGCTCGCGTTTGTGGTACGATATTTGTTACTCGACCGGACGGTGACGATCATAGTGTCTCCCAACTTCCTACATATATGTATAGTAGATCGTTCATTAAATAACGACCACTGATCATTATAGTAATGACAGTTACAGGGACACCTGCCAATTAACTATATAATTATATATTTATCAGATTATATTACCGCTGCTACGATAGTCGAATTGACAAATTAACTTGTTTTGTTGGCTGTGTAATTGTAAAATATTTTACATGTTGTTAACAGATGTTCCGTCATGGTGATCGGACACCGGATGACGAAGAGTTGAACTTGTATCCATCCGAGCATCATATTCCTCCGAATATATTTTTCCCTTACGGGAAAAAGGCCCTCACTAACGTAAGTTATCCAATTCAATATGTATGTATATTGATAGACGACTTTTATATTCAACTAACACATTGTTTGAAGTATCACAGCTATATAATTAAACTTAAAAATATTGCGAGTTTTTCAGGCCTAATGATGTTTCAGTTATTATTGTAATGTCATGGAGAGAATATAAATGATTTTCAATTTAAAAGACATGGGAATTAGTTATCGATACGACTATTATACTGTACAACATTCGATATAAACCGACACAATCAATTACGCTATAGCTTATAAGCTGTAATTATTGTGTATATATGATCCTCTATAGAGGATGCTATATTCGTCGTAGTGAAATCGTATAAGATTCAACTTACACTAAAATCTACAGCATGTATCTGCAACCTTAGAAACCGGTAATATGTAGTAAACCAGTAATATGTGGTATACCGGTTGATAGGTTATTTAAAAAACAGATTTTCATGTCATTTATTTTGAATATTTTTTCATCGGGACGGTCCTTTTTGCATTTTCCGTTAGGTTCTGATATGTAGAAGATTATTGTTCATAACTGCTACATAAGTGGTAGTAGTAAAAGTAGTAATAAAACATGATAACATATTTTGTAATATCAACCTGTTAATCTGTGAAGTGTTTAGCTACGGTATTACATTTGGTAAATATTTGAATAATGCGTACATGCATTACATGATTGAACTTTAACTTATATAGAGGAACATGATACTTCTTATATAACACGTGGATATTTCAACTAGTTCTTCTGGCCTTGTGAAATCATAGTTCGTTGAGCTCTTCTTGCGTTAAGAAAAGTAGGAAATTAAGTGATGAATTATAGCTACATAGTTAAATCTTTATATATATAATTCTTCTGTGAGTGTGTATGTCACTGAACTTCTCTCAAACGACTGGACCGATTTTGATGAAATTTTTTGTGTGTGTTCAAGGGGATCTGGGAATGGTTTAGATTCACAATTTTGTCCGCTGGAAAATGTTTTTTTAATTAATTTTTAATATATTAGTAGTTGTTGATTTTGGAATGTTTTACATTGGATCCGACAGACGGCGCTACCATCGCAGTGTCAAATTTGACAGGAAAACGTCTGTCGGGTCCGCTAGTATATATATATATATATTTTCAGCAGTTATATTTTATAACTTGTATTGGTCCTTTTCTATTTTGTTGTCACTTGTTAACAGAAAGGTAAACAACGCGCCTACTTGACAGGTAAATATCTGAGACAGCTTTATGATGGTTTAGTCTGTCGTTTGTATTTACCGGATCAAGTTAAGATACGGACTACAGAATATGCCAGGACACAGATGACGGCTCTTGCTGCGCTTTCTGGCTTGTACCCGCCAGAACCAGCACAAAAATGGAACCCAACTTTAGACTGGCAGCCGATCCCATATAGCACAACGCCTTTTGCCGAGGATGATGTAAGTACTGATATGACAAACAACTTTTAGACTATAGACCATTTTAAATTAGGAATTTGCAAACTTTGATTTTTGTATATAAATTGAAATAACATTTTAATATCCTATGATGTAATGACTTTCGAAAGGCCTAATTTTTTTTTAAACATAAGGGATATTTTTAGCTGATGTACTGGTATAACTGTCCAAGATATTTGTCACTGAAAGACCAAATGTATGGGAAACCCGAAATAAAAAAATGGTTGGATCCTTACGAGGGATTGTTCAAATACATGACTGAACATGCTGGTACGAACATTACGACACCCGAGGACGTGTTCAACCTGGACAATTTGTTTCAAACATTGGTAAGCGCTATATTGAATAAAAATGGCTAACTTTATGGATCTAGGATTTTATCTCAAAATGTAGATGAACTATATTTATATATATATTTTAGTCTAATGTCGGACTTGATCCACCGAAGTGGGCTCAAGATGTTATGCCCAAAATAAAAGACATGACGAAAATCGAATACGCTGTTCAATATTATAACTCCGAATTAATAAAACTTGCGTCAGGTACGTACTTTCACTCTATGGTTATCTATGGCTTTCTTTGAACTCTGGATACAGAATTAATGTTTGAATTTATTCGTAGGAGTGCTAATGCAATTTATATTGAACGCGACTGATAGTGTCGTCGAAAATCCAGAGAAACGTATAGAGCCCAAACTCTATTTGATTTCTGCTCATGAAAACAACGTTGCCGGATTGATGGCGGCTGCTAGGGTGTTTGAGGCTCATCAGCCTAAATATGGATCAACTTTCTCTTTAGAACTTAGAAAAAATCTTAAGACTCGTAGATATGGAATTACGGTGAGGGTTTTTCAATTATTACTTTAACTCAAATTTTAAGAATTATAATCTTACCAACAATCAGTATAAATGACAATCTCGTTAACTATAATTTATTGTTTGGCTCACATTCTATAAGTAAGTATTAATTAATTAGGTAAGTATTTTATTATTTATTTATTTTATTATCTTTGGAATACCAACAGCATAAAATACACTTTCTAGAAACTAAGCCTAATAACATCATTGCTATTGACAGGCATTCGCAGATAGGTTCCAAATGTTAAGTTAACAAAAATAGATACATACTAGACCAAAAAGTTTATTCTAATACTTTGTCACATCAGGATCGGAGCCAAAAAAATCTAAGGTGTATATTTTTTTCACATGTGACGGCCTCGATCCAAATATTTCAAACTCGTCATGCCTTATACAAATGTCATTCACTGATCTACCTGAACGAATAATTAATGAGTTCTGTCGGTAATTAGTGTTGGCTCGAGGTACTGCCATGGGTTGATTATGGCGAACTTTATCAAGCAGGGCCGAGCTATCAACTTTGCCATTGACAATTTTCAAAAGTGTCACTACATCAGACACAGCTCGTCTATTCTTTAAGGGTAGAAAATGATACCTCCTGCATCTTGTTTCATAACCATGGTCAGTACACTTGGTCTTGTATTATATCTTAGAAACTTTTTTTGGATGGATTCAAGACGATCGATATAAGTGTAGTAAAACGGGTTCCACACCACCGATGCATATTCTAGGGTACTACGCACCAACGCACAATACAGCACCTTTATGGGCCTAATATGTTTAAACTCTGAAGTGGACCTAATAACAAAACCAAGCAATCTATATGCCTTTTTTATGACGGAGTCAATGTGCTTATCAAATATTAATTTAGAGTCCTGTATTAAGCCTAGATCCTTTATACTGGAAGCATTTGAAAGGGGCCTGTTAGAGATAGTATATAGAAATTGAGTTGGTTTAATTAAAAAAGTAATAGCAAAACATTTAGAGACATTCAGACTTAACTTATTATTTATACAATATTGTTCAAAATTATTCAAATCGCTCTGTAGCAGATCACAATCGGCGGGATTCTTAACGGCCATAAATATCTTTGTATCATCTGCGTAGGATAGAAAGTTAGCATATTTAAAACAGCAGTTTATGTCATTAATGAAGATCACGAAAAGCAATGGTCCTAATAAAGATCCTTGAGGGACAACAGAAGGAATCGGCATCCACGCCGATGTGAAGCCGTTTATTGCTACTGCTTGGGATCTTTTTGTTATATAGGAGGTAAACCATCTAAATAAGTTACCATGTATTCCAGCCCTATTTAGCTTATCTAAAAGTAGTAAATGATCTATGCGATCGAAAGCCTTACTAAAATCAGTATAAACGGCATGCACTTCCACCCCTGAGTCCATATTCGACGTCACAAAATAATTAAAAACTAATAAATTAGATACAGTAGACCTATGTCTTAAAAATCCGTGTTGTTTAGGTATAAAGAACGACTGCAACGATGCGTATACCTGTCTATACACAATAAGTTCTAATATTTTTGCAAAAATGCAAAGTTTTGATATAGGCCTATAATTTTTTATGTTAGAACGGTCTCCATTCTTATGGACAGGTGTTACAAAGGCTGACTTCCAAATAGCTGGTACAATACCTTCCTTTATAGACCTAGAGAAAATAATGTACAAAGGTAAACACAAGCTATCAATACACTGTTTAATAAAAAATGGGGGGAAATCATCAGGCCCTGCACCTTTTTTAAGATCGACAGCTTCCAACAGTCTTTTAATCTCATTTGGATTGATGTCAATATTATTTATTAAGTTACTATGACTATCAAATGGTTGATAATCACGGCTGGGCGTTTGTAGGGAGCTATTTACATTAGTATTATGAAAGGATGATTGAAAGTAATCTGCGAACAGATTGGAGACAGATTCTGCAGTATTCGCAGAAATATCATCCAAGTTCATAACCGATGGAAATGCGTGAGAGGCTTTATTAAGTGATTTTACATAGGCCCAAAACAGTCGAGGATTTTCTACTACCGAATTCTCAATTTTATTTATATACAACTGATAACATTCACTCTCCAACATAGAAGCACGTTCCCTAAGCAATGAGTAAGTTATATAATCATAATGATTGCCATATTTTTTATATTTCCTATAAAACTTAAATTATTAACTTAAGACAGGAATTCTATCTTCCGGTACTAGAGGGTGGGAACTTGGCAGCACTTCTAGGCTAGTATTAGACAGCGCCAGGTCCAAGATTCTGTCCATAAAATTAGGTACAGAATTAAATTAGTTAAGGTTACATTCCGCTAACACGTCCATGAAGCTAGTCTGGCTCTCATTAAATATTCCTATAGGCTCTGTATATCCGCCATCTACCGGTTTTCAAGTAATATTTGGCATATTAAATTCACAGAAGATCAAAAATAAATCGTTAGGGGTAGCTCGAAAATTATTTTCAGGTTTATCAGCAAAATTTACCAACTGAGCATTAATCGAATTTCCCCCTCTTTGATTACATAAATAAACAGTACACAGATGCAACTTAACAGGGTCACCCTTAGACCTCATGGTCACAGTCGCCCATATGTCTTCCGCGGAAGAACGCCAGGTTAGTTGCTCGAAGGCGCCAAACTTTCGACTTATGGCCAGAGTTACACCTCCACCATATTGCTGCGTGGTACTCTCGTAGTCTCGATCGCGCCAATATACGACATACCAGTCATCGAAAAGTTCTCGATCACTAATACCTGCCATCAACCAAGACTCAGTCATAGCTATTACGTCGTAGCAATTCAAGCCAACATTTCTCCTAAATAAACTAAACTTAGTGCGCAGTCCCCTAGCATTCTGATAAAAAATACTAATGTGGGTCAACATGATTAATATAATAAGTTTCTACATTAAATACGAGTAAAAAATCTAATCTGTGATTATAACGGGTGTGGGAACCGTACACAAACACTTGTAGAAAGATAACATTACTAAAAACAACACATAAACTGCAACTAGACGATAAATAACTATTACAAATAATAAGCTGCGATGTTATATTAACAACAAGTATTGCATTTAAAAACCACATGATTGCAGGTAAAATTGAATAAAGAATTAAACATAGTTTTAGAATATTATATAAATTGCAAGCGAAGTTAAGTTTTAAATATGACAAATTAAGGATATTACTCGAGTACGTGCCTTCACTAAGTACCGACACCGATGAACAATAGCGAGTAGTGATAAGCAATACAATAGATGCAGGGCTTCTCCATTGCGGGTCGCAACATTTATGTAGACTTAGACGTAGATTTTTATGTAGACAAGAATATATTAGTTTTATATTTTGGTAGTAAACATATAAAATAAACGTAATAAACTATTGAAAAAATTTCGGGATATCATACTCGGTTTTTACTCGGAAAGTACGTGAGGTATCTGACCTTCTTACCAGTATTTTACAGTGTTTCACCCATATGTACTTAAATTGCTTTTCGAAGGCTAATTCCTTTACTTTCTTTAAAAGTGCCTTATTGTGCAAGGTTAGGTGATCGTTAATAAATATACCTTCCTTTCTCCGTTATATCCGAGATCCAGAATGGAAAGACCCTTGTGTTGGCGCGCAGCTGCCACAAAATCCTCTTTGGTGTAGCGGTTATTTAGAGCCATTATAATTGATTTAGAAGAGTCTGACTTTAAGCTAGGTACGCGTGCAATGTAATTGATATCTTCTTTACGTATGGTGCACTTGATATTTTTAGTAATCTTCGCTACAATATCGTATAAGTTCTCAGACTTTAATAGTGTAACTGCCTTTATTTCCACATTATTAGCACGGGCCCACTGTTCTTTATCCTGAAGGTCCTCTTTAAGCTTTGCCATATCCATCTTCAAATTATCGAGTGAGTTGGTTTGTGCCTCAATGTGTGAGACTCTGGTTACGAGAGACCCGATCTTCGAAATTGAATCATCTGCGGTTATTTGAGCAAAATTAACAGAATCTTTATGGTCCGAAACATCTTGCTTTATCAGCTTTACGTCTTCAACCAGGGTGGCCAAAGGGGAAAGCTGTTTCATTATGGTGTCCAGGGTTGACCTCAATTCACTTAGCTGCTTTGACAGCTGGAGATTAGTAGGTGCATCCGGAGACTGTGCCGTTTTACACTCCATGCAACGCCAAGTACTTCTGCGATCTCTCAATTTTCGGAAACCTACCTCTGTGATGCCAGTACAGGCAAAATCAAGTTGGCGCTCACATATGCAACACGTCACACCATCGTTTGCGTTCTCTCCACATCGCGCACACGAATACACGTTTATGTACTGCGGCCCCTAAGTTTGTTTACTCTGAAAATAGGCAGACAAGCGATACGTGTTCCCTCAGCTATATCTCAACGACGAATGAATGTATTCTAAAAGTTTAGCCAAAAAAAGTTTTCTGAAATATTAAAATTCACTGAAAATAAATTTAGAATGTAAATTATGAAAAATTAATTAAATTCTAAATCCACAAATAAGGAAATTCTATGTAAATCAAAATGCCATCAAACTTTTTTCTGTAAATTTAAATATTAATGACTTGTACGAAGTTTGATACCTCACTTCTGCATACAAAAATAGTTCTTTGTAATATTACTAATAAATATTAACTCACGCAAACAGTATTAATACTTAAGTATTTTTTCATTACTAATTGATTTTATAATAATTGAAAGTAAACGACTCTTTTTCTTTAGTAATTGATAATAAAATATTAAATGCAATCCCTAGATGATCGCGACATTTTATGGGATAAGTCATCCTATACAATTTTATAATAAAATGATACCAATAATAAACTACAACCAAAAATTTTATACTATATATATAAAATATAGAAACTGGATTGGATGCTTTACCGTTAACAATTACAATGAAAAATAATATAAAATATTTATTGTCCATCAGATAAAAGCACAAGATGTAGGTACT